ACTTCATACAATAGCTTTGTTTGAGCAACCAATGCCATGTTTTATTCAAACAAGGGAATTATTTCCTTCAACACAAGCCTTAATTCATCTAATAGAGTTAGTTCACCTAAACATCAACATAAATAATAAAAAAAAATGATGTGAAGATCATTCTGTGAAGAAATGCACCATTTTACAACTGAAAGTGGCATCTTTAGTATAATCCAATTGCAATACAAACTCGCTTAAAAGATATCTTTTATTTGCCAAAACCACTACTAAGGACCACAAAAACTCAATTGAGACCTATCCTTCTATCTTACACCTTTTTTTTTCATGAATGGCTAAAAAATTAAGATATTAAAAATATTTTAAAAGGATTATTTAAGATATCGAGAATGTCTAATTTGATAATATTAATTTGACAAAATCATCATTTAGATAACTCATGGAAGAACTGATTCATTTATCTACATCAACATAAAGAAGCCGCTTAAGAGTAATTGCAAAGTCTCTATAAATACAACTTAAATTCCACCCTTCCATTATTTATATAAAGATTGCCATTTTATCTCAAAATATTTGAGATATCAATGCTCAAAATAAAACTTCATTACTATGTAATTACCTTTGTCAGCATATTCTCAATTTGAAATTCTTATGCATATAAGAACACAAGTTATGTAGCTTTGAACTCCTTGCTTTAAATGACACCATTTTGCCAAGTGCTAAATTCTTTAGACAAGATTAGTCTTGATATATAACTATGACGCACAAGCATGTTCAAAGAGGAGGATCTTATTACTATCTAATCCTACTTGGTATATAATTAGAGAATAGTTAGGGCTCTACATAGATGAGAAAGGTAAGTATTGTACTTTGTTTTGGCATGTATCTGCAATATTTCAGCCAAATATGAATCTCTGCATAAATTAAATTATAGCAAAGATTTTAGTATATATGCTCATTTTTTCAAGTACACACTTGGATGTATTATCTTGGATGTATTATCTTAGATGGAACAACACTCTTTTCACACATAAAACAATCTTGATCTTTTTTTAAGAACTTCGACCAAAGGCTATATTTGTAGAATTTGTTTAATTGTGATTGAAATATAATATAAGAAAACTCATTTTTTTTTTTTTTTTTTTTTTTTTTTTTCTATAATATAGTAGAATAATTTGAGTGGAATCTTGACTAATTTCTATGAAGAGGAAAAGTACTAATTATGAATTATATTACAATGCTTGGACAAGAATTGCTAAAAAAAAAAAAATATCATCCTTTATGTGATACTTGCTAGGTGATTAGGCATTATTCTACATGATTATTGACTTAAATGGCTTAATGTTGTTGTAATAGAAAGAATTTGCCTCAAAAAAATATTAGGCTTCTAGTTGCCATTAATTGTTCAAACAAAATATAAGTTTATAAAATACAAATTATATTTATAGCTTATCTTTGTGAAAATAATTACTTCAAGTATATAAGTCTTAGATGCACAAGAATTCTTAAGATGTGATTAGATATCCTAAAACCACTTCTATTCTTATAGAGATTCCTTGTGAATTTGTATCATTTAATAACTCCCAATCTAATTGTCTTGTTAGATTCAAACTTTTATACATGTTAATTTATATCCTTAATTAACTCTACAAAAAATATCAACTATAGATTCATTAAAAATTATTAGATATTGCTTAATTTCTAGCAGATACTAAATACATCAATTTCTAGATACATGTATACTAAATCTACTATTTTTTAAAAATCCAACATTCAAAATACCATGAAATTTCATATGTAATTTTTTTAACATAATCATCTATTACTATGATAATTTTGAGCCGAAAATTCGTCCAAAAATTCAAGATATGGCCCAAATCAAAAACTTCATAAAAAAAACTTACTTACAAACTCTAATTTTGAAGCATTAACTTCTAATAGCTCTTTCTCCTTCATTCCAAATGAAAATTTATTGATTCCTTCACAGAAAATGAAGCTCTTTAAGTCAACTTTTGAACCTCACTTTTTGATTTCCAAAAGCTCTCATATAACTCCTTGTATTCAAAAAGGATGGAAGTAGCTACAATTTCAAGACTCTAACTTCAAGCATCCATTTCTCCCTCATAAAAACTTCAAACTCCTTGACTTGTGAACAAAAATTATAGCCATCAATATAAGCTAACAAATCCTAACCTTTGAACTTCAAATGGCCACTTTGAAGTGGCCTCAAATTCCAATATGGTCTTAGACAACATCTTGAAGTCCATTGGACATGACCTTCAATCAATAGAAATGAAGTTATCCATCAATTTGCCTTATCCATCTACATAGAATGGTTTAGAAGTCAAAATATTATACCCTTGATACCAAAGCCCTTCTAAACTCCTTACCAATAAATCCTACAATTTTTTTCTTTAATTACAAAACTTAAACTACAAACTTAAATAAGTATTTTATTTTATTTTTTAATTACAACCCAAATTTTCATAACATTTCATTTTATTTTTACATAGTATGCTATTTTCCAACACAACAACACGGAGGATAAAGAACACATCACGAAAGGAGCAAGTTTGTTGTGATTCAATTAACATAGAATAATAGTGGTGAATGCATGATGAGGGAGCATAGACAACCAAATTGATCAATGTTATCTAATGTGTTTAAATGATACTTGCAAGACAATTCTCCATAGGTTCTAAGAATGCCTGTCAACACAACAAGTGTAGGGCTGGGAGGTACACATCTTGCTACTTCTCACTCTAAAACTTGCATCTACTTGAACTTGCTTGAGCACCATGGCTGCTAGAGGTATGAGAGGAGTTGAGCTCCATGCATGGAAACATTGTAATTTTGCTCATCATACTCCATGGTGATTCAAACAAGTTAGTTGGATGCGATGGCACCATCACATGGTTGTTGTGGATGGAACAAAATGATACTATGTTCACTGGATCTATGGTACTGCAAGAAAATGTCTAACAAGATAAAGCTGAAATTGATTGACTGCTATAGGATTGCCTGGGCTCAGTTGAAAACCAGAAGTATGCACAGCCCAGACAATCACTAAATACCTTGGTGTACAAATGCCATCCTAGCATCATGGGCAGCTGGACAACCCCATTGGAAGTTGGTAGAATCAAGGGACTTTTATGTTAGGTAAAGTCTGTGCTACTATCCAGGCCAGATCTGTCTGGGCCCCTTGTTGTGTGACATTTTTTCTTTTACTCTGCAACAGAAGCCTTCTCTATTTGTGCCAAAAAAAGAACAGAAAAGAATAAAGTCTAGTTCTGGCTCAGGGGTTTCATGGGAAGGAGCGATCATGTTGGAGAGGACGAACACTTCCTCGTTATCTGTGTTTTTTTAAAACTTTAAACACACCCTGCCTGACACGGTCACCGAAGCTAAACAGCCTTTTAATGCCAGGTTTTGGGGGCGGCCCGCGATTTTCCAAGGATTCTAGAGTTAATTTACAGCTAGAGGGAGAAGATTTAGTTACAGATTGCAGGGTCCCGTTAATAGTAAGGGGGGCAGAGTGGACTTCATGAAATTAAGAGCTTTTTTGCTTCCCATTATGGGGCCTCTTCGCCAAGTGTGGGGCCTTTATGCCAAGTGGGAGCAATGCAATTGCCACATAAGCAGACGGGGATCTTGTGTAGTGCCAGGTGGCGCCTATGCCACGTCAGACAAGGGGCTGTTAGAGAGGGAGAATGGAGAATGTTCTTGCCATTTGAGTGGGGACTCTTTTCTAGTTCGTGGGAACATGGGTTCCCCCTGAAGAACACAATTGGGAACGTTGACGAAAAAGGTGGAGGGGTACAAAAAGTTCGTCACTTTTTTATTGGGTTATTATTAGAGAAACGTTTATTCTAAATATGAAGATTGAATGGATTTTGTTCCAAACACTACAAGAGAGTGTGTTTGCTTGAAGAGGACAATGGAGTCCAATGAACCTGGACAATCTTAATGGGATACAACCCTCTTTTTGCCGAATGATGTCACTCTTTTTAACTTGTCTTTGTGTTTGTGGGGTAATTGCATAACTGTGGGTGAAGGTAGTGGTGTATGTACAAATATATATATATATATATATATATAAGAAAGAAAATAGTGTAAGAGTAAGTACATTCACATGTGATGTTGAGTTGTGAGATAAACATATGAAAATGTGATATTGTATATGTTTTGATTGTTTTAGTGTTTGGAATTTGGGTCAGCGATTTGAAATAAAGAACAATAATGTAATGTTAGGTTTTGATGTGATCATTTATAAATAAAAAATTTAAACATAATTATTATAAACAACTGTTTGTTTGTTTGTTTTGTTTTTTTTTTGTTTTTGTTTTTTTTTTCTCTAATCACCTATGCAATTGATTTTCGAAAAATTTCAATAGAATAATGATCTGATTACTCAATTTATACAACTTTCCCTTGTAAAACATTATAAAGTTCAGTTTCATTTTTTTATTTGATTATTTATTTGATTGAGTTTGAAAGATATCATAACTGCATGTGTTGAATTTTTAATTCAAACTAGGACTGGTGTAAATCTTATTAACCTAATTTTCTAAAAGTTATTGAGATGCTTAGTTAGTATATTATAGACAATGGTATCTGACTGTAACAATATCTGCAAAATTAATTTATGGTATCTGTTGCTTCAATTAAAATTATAAATAAAAAACCAAAAATCAGTTCTAACAAATTTGACACCATCCATAGGACATTTTTGCATGTAGGTGAAGGAAACAAACACATTTTTCTTTAGTATGTGTTCTGAATTGACACAAACCTTAGTGTTACTATATTTAAAAATGTGTTGTTTTTTATTTAAAGATGGTAAGAAGTAAGGGAAAATATAATTTGTATCTCTACAATATGTTGAGATATCAAAAATACAAGTATTCTTGATAATAACAAATCTACCTCACTTATCTTATAATATCAAATCTACCTCACTTATCTTATAATATCAAATCTACCTCACTTATCTTATAATATAAAATCCACCTCACTTATCTTACGAACAGAGCATGAGGTCGTTGAAGAGTTGCAAGCCAAAATGAAAATTGAACTTCAAGAGTGTATGGAACAAATTGATGCGAGCATCAATAAAAGCTATGAATTGTATGATGAACGGCATGACTATCACAAACTCATTTCAGGTTTTTATTTTTATTTTTTAAACTAATGATGTCCATGAATCGATTGAAGGTATGTTTTTATGAGAAAGGGTTGTAGATGTTTCAAGACTGCTGTGTTGAAAGCATGTCTAGGGTTTGCGTAACAGGAAGAAGCGAAGTGAATGAGTGTGTATACATATGTGTGTGTGTGCGCACTGTGATAAAGCCATTGCTGAGGCCAATTTGAAATGGGTTTCCTGACATGGGTACCAGAGATTCTGGAGATGTTGGAAGAAGGCGACGCCTACACGCGGTGGCAGCAATACGGCACTTGGATCGTTCTCGACGGAAGGCCTTTCGCGGAGACCGCGCTGTCCAGTGAGAAGGAGCGCACTGAGCGAATGAAAAACAAGCGGCCCACTCTCACTCTCGTGAATGTAATGTTTCCCACGCATACTGTTCTATGCAATCGAAATCCAAAGAATCTGGTTGTAGAAATGTTGACCGGGGTACTGTTCAGAGCGGGGGCGAGGGGCTGCCTAGACCATGCCTTTGAAGGAAAACAATATGAAGAAGATGTTCGTGATTGAGGGTGCCGAGGCTTGATTGAAGTTTAGATCCAAGCCCCACACTCAGAAATACGAACGTTTAATTGAGATCATGGCGTTCATGAACTTAGAATGGAACAGGCCGAGGAGGTGTTGCCCGAGTTAATAGCTGCTCACAAGAGATAATTTAAATAATTCACCGCAACCTGTGCCTGCAGGTGCTACCAGTATACGAGTCATAAAAATACCGACACAACAACTCGACAAACTTGGTTCAGGAGAACGAGATGCCGATGCGGTTGGCATATGAGCAACTCGACGAACTGGTTGCGAATGCGGAGCACGTTGAGTCCGCGATTGAAAGAAACCGGAGGCGTAGGCGTCTGCAGCAGGGAGTGTATCTGTGCTGTATTCTGCAGCTCATTGGGTGCATCTGATCAAGCTCGCCGAGGGCGAGAACAAGGACGACGTGGTGGTTGACTTGTTTCGGGTGGCCGTGAGGTTGAAAGCGGAGGTGTGTTGCTGGTTTGGTGCAGATTGGGAGGGGGGGAGAAGAAGATGGCCCGTGCTGCCTAGCAGCAGTTCCATTTGCCGACAATTCTCCGCGGCACGGAGGTTGGACCCAGTTTCACTTTGAAAAAGAAATATTCTCCATGGCTTATCAGATTGAATGGCAGATTTGATATTATAAGATAAGTGAGGTAGATTTGCTGTTATCGAGAGTACATGGGTATTCTTGATATTTCAACATATTGTACAAATTATATTTTCCCAAAAAATAACACTTGTTTCGAAAAACATGGCATAACTTTTTTTGTATGACTGTTAAATTTTTATGCTAGCATTACTTTTTATAATAAAGTAAATTTAATTAATATTTGTAGTTTTGCAAAAATCAACTTCAACACACTCTTCTTTATTCTTTATTTTTTTGGATCAAAATATAAAATTACACACACACACACACACACACATATATATATATATGTATATATATATATATACATATATATGTTAGTTTTTTCTTTTGCTTTGTTACATTCTATGAATCATGTCAAGCACTTGTAGGAGTTATTAGATGATAAAGATTGAATTGGATATATATGCATATATATAAATATTTGTATGTATATGTATATATATATATATATATATATTTAATGAATAGGTTGTAGTAATATAAAAAAATAGAAATAAAATTTATAAAAATGGTCTATATTTTTATCTTCTACTTTCATACTACAAGTAATTATTTAATTTTTCTTATAAATTCAAATACTATTGCAAATGATGAATGAGATATCTTAAAAGATGATGAGATGGTAGAACTTTGTAATATCATCATGTGATTTGATAACTTTTTATAGAATATTTTTCTCAACATTAAATGATAAGTAATAATAGAAGATTATATTTGTGATATTATTGATGAATTTTAGAATTTAAATATTTTATAGTCATCGATTTTGTACATGCATTATATATATATATATATATAGTATTTTCTTCAATAAGTTAAAGAGTTAATCAAGTCATTTTGTTGTACTTTAAATAAATAAAATATTAAAAGACACATCTATAATCTTTTTAAAATAAAATTAAAATCTAATTACTTTCAAATGGTTTTATTTAACATAATTTATTAATATTAATACTATATTTTATTTAACAATATAGTTTTAAAATAATGAAAGATGTATTTTTTAATATTTTATTTATTTATATACTTTATATTATTATAAATATTTATTGAGATCAATTAAATAGAATGAAATAAAGAATATAAATAAAATCTATCTACAAATTAATTGTAATATGTTTTTAGAAAAATCTGAAATTACAATAAATAATAAGCAACAAGGTAGTAATATTTTTAAAAACCATTTCTAAAAAAGAAAAATATCATATATATGTTCTTCAATTATCCTAAAATATCAAGAATATTCCTACATTATTGATAATAGTAAATATGTCTTGTAAATCTGTGATAATAACAAATGTATTCTTATTGGTGATAAGATATTACTTTATTCTTTGTTTTAGTTGTTATCTAGGATCCAAACTGCAAGTCATATAGATTTTGCTAGGCTCTTTTTTGATCAATTCTATTCATGCTTCTATAGCTCTTGCTTTAAACTATGGTTGTTAGACCAAATGTAATAATTCATGGAGTGAAGAAATCTAATGCTATAGTTGTGAATGTGTTGGTGTTGAATGTTTCCTCTAAGTGACTATTGATATTGAGTTGGGAAAAAAAGCATAGGGCATACTGTATAAAAATGACAAGTGGTTGAGCATTGGGAAGTTTGAGGCAACTTTGTTTCTAAACTAAACACTATATTTGAAGTTATCTAAAAATAACAAGCAAATTATCTTAGTGAAGAAGGAACTTATGTTGTATATATTGAAGAGATTCAAAGGTGAGCTTAAGGAGAAGAAATTTGTGGTATTGAAGGTTGTGGAGGACATAAAGAAGTTAACTTTTGGCAAGGTTGAAACATTTCTTAATTGTTTAGTTAGAAGCTATGATTGTCATGAGCATCAAATTATCCATTTGAAATCTGGATATTGTGGATGTCTTCATTAGCTAAAACATTACAAGCCAAGTGTTCTAATATTTGTGATTATTGTCATAGAAAAGCATGACAAACAACAAGATTAAAGCCAATTGAATTTAACAATTAAGAATGAAATTACTCTTCAAGATATTTTAGCAAATTAATTCTTAATCTAAGTAAGTATGCATTTCAATAGATTTATCATTAAGAATATATATAGTATGCACTTAACTTCTACACTTAAACATAAGAACTTAAACTTTTATCCAAAAGCTTGATTTGAGCAATTCATCACTCTTATGTGGCATCACCTTCTTGTTTTTCTACTGCCCCATAAATTACATTTATACCTTGAGGCTCAAAAGCTTGCTATGAAGCATAGAGACTTGCAAATGAGTAGATGGTGGTGGTGACATGCAATTCAAAAGATGCAAGCATCACAACACAAAAAGCGTTGTTACAACCAAGTATCAAAGACATGAATCAAAACAAGAAGAAGCTTAAAACTCTCTCAAGAAGAATAAATATTCATTCCAAAATTAATATAATATTAAGACTAGAATGGCTATTGTCAAAGCCAAGAGAAGTATGGATTCTTGAAATTAGATTGAAAATAAAAAAAAAAACATTGATAAGAGTAAAGAAGGCTTCACTCTTGCATCCATACATACTATCTAATTAGAAGCTACATGGTAATGTTCTACAAGATCTCTAATATGTGTTGACTTTGTAAGATACATATCTTAATTAGCAAGACAAGTTTATTGTATGTGTACTACATAGTTAGCTTATTCTACAAGCTACCAATATGTATGACACATGGTTAAGTTATTGACCAAGTTTCTAACATATTAATTAATTACAAATACTTGTAAAGTCAAAACCATGTCTATGAAGCTTCTAAGAAGTTTTTCAAGAAGATATTATAAAAATTAATCTAATTTTATCTACTTCTACATAATTATATTGATAATTATTGGAATATATATATATATATATATATATATCCATGATACCAAGCAATTGAGAATCTGCAATGCAAGGTGTGGTTTGTGAATTGATAGAAGAAAAAGTTGTGAGGTTTTTCCAATTTTCAAAAAACCAAAAAGGGCTTGGCAAAATTTGTGCAACCTATGGTTTGGACCCTAGATAATGACTAAATAAGAGATGTTGGTAATATCTTATTACCAAGAAGAGTATATTTGCTGTTATCACAAATATGTAGAATATACTTGCTATTATTAAGAATACAAAGGTATTCTTAATATTTCAGCATGTTTAAGGAATAAATATTATATTTTCCCTTGTTTCAATAACTGATAGAATTGGTTCTTCTAAAGAAAAAAATTAATTCACCTTTTATTAAATAAAATAAAAATAAATAAATATAAAAAATAAAAAATCATAAATAAGGTTTTAATTTGTTGCAAAAATATTTTTGTAATAATTTAATTTCAATTTAATCATTTCCTTTAAAATTATGAAAAAAATCATTCAAGAATTCACAAAATAAAATGAAAATTAGGTTTTTTTTTATAAAAATCATGAATTAAGAAAATTATGCATTTGAGACATTATTCATTCATATATTGTACCCAAAGTTTATAACTGCCCAAGCTTCAAACAGATGACCATTTTCAATCATAATTTTCAATTCAGTCATGTCATCATGTAGTTTTACTGCTTACTGAAAGTTACTGAATGATTCTAAATAAATTATAAAATCAAATTTTTTAAAATTAGAGCCAGAAATACTTAAAATATAATTTACAACTAATATCTGAAAAAACATAATAAATTCAAATGCTGCATTGTATAGTAGAACCCAAAGTAGTTAAATTTGTTGTTACATGTTCAGAAGCTTTTTAGTGTTAGAAGAGTTTAGATCCAAATTTATTGAGTTTTTATTTATTTTTAAAATAATTCTATATCTACATTAAACTATTTTAGGATTTTTATCTCCTAATAAATGATTGAGTTGGAAAACTTATATTGTTCTTGTGTGCGTCCCATAATTGTGATTTTATTTTATATTCACTCAATCAGTTATTAACAGTGCTAGATTTTTATTTTTTACATTATATATATATATATATATATATATATACATAAATTAAAGAAAAAATAAAATTATTTCTCATAAATGAAAAAAAAATTTCAATTTGAAGTATATTAAAAAAATAATAATAAACATAGCATATGGAGAAATAAAATAAAAATGAAAGTAGTTAACCGAAATAACAGCTACAGTATAACATAGAAGATTGAATTTTTTTGGTGGATCAAATGATTGCATTTTGGTAATTTATATGAGTTGCAAAGCAAATCTATAGATGAAATTTTGCAATTTAGTAAATAATTTTTTTTTGAACGTGTTTTGTAAACTTAAGCATTATTAAATGATCAAATTAAAAGTATTTGAGGTTGAATTGAATTAGGATTTTGAAAATTGGATTTTAAAGGTCAACAAGGATTTTTTATATGTTGAGAAATTTCTAAACTAGATTAGAATAAATTCTTTATATGCTAGTATTTGACTTGATTTTTTACATTTTTGCAAGATTTCAAAGCAATTTAATTGTTGAAGGAGGAGATATTGAAGCTGGAATTTTTTGCATTGAGGTTGGAGAAGAAGGATGACAAACACTCAAGTAGATTAAGAGCATTTTTTCTCAATTTGTAAGTAGGAATTCCTTTAAATTTGGAAGGTTATTCTTAACTAATAGATTGATATGTGTAATAAATTTGAATAAAAATCAATGGTTAGTATAATACTTGTTGAGATTTGAAATATATTTTGGTATTTATTTAGAGCTTACCTATGATTTATTAGGATTTCTTGTGATTTTTTTAGATTTTTTTTTTATAATTTTTATTTATTTATTTTTGATTTTATAAAAAAATATTTTAATTTCTATATTATTTTATTTTGGATTTTTAAAAGAATTATTTAAGGTTTATTTAAAGATAAATATTGTGTGATAAGATTGTTTAGGTTGTTTAAAATTGCCAAAGTATTTCTAAACACCTTATGCATTGTTTTTGAATTACAAAGTGAATGTCAAGGTTAGATCAAATTCTTTCATAAGTAGATACTATGTGTATTTTCAAGCTAAATTTTACCTAATATGACAACACAACTTTGGTCGTACTCACAATTACAATATGGATTAAAGCTCACAATGATTGTGACAATCAAGGATAAATAATAATACTAATATTTTAAACTTTTTATTTAATAGATTTGTATTTTTAGCAAATGCCATTACACAAC